TGGACTTGAACCAAGTGATATCTGGTAGGGCTTGCCTCCTTATAGACCATATGTTCTTACATGGTGAAAAGGAAGGGCACCACTCTCATAATTTAATCAGCTGTCCAAAGGCCTAGCTTCTTAATACTATCACATTGGGATTAGGTTCCAACATAGGAATTTTGAAGAGAAACAAACATTCTGACCAAAGCACATAGGAAAATTTATTTTTAGTTTCAAGCAACCAACCAACTTAAATATGAACCCTTAGAAAATGGAATGAAGAAGTCAAATTTGGCTAGGTGCAAGTAGCTCATACCTGTAATCCCAGCTCTTTGGGAAGCCAAAAAGGGTGGATTTCTTGAGCTCAGGAGTTTGAGACCAGTCTGGGCAACATAATGAGATCTTGTCTCTACAAAACATTAAAAAATTAGCAAGACATAGTGGCATACACCTATAGTTCTAACTATTCAGGAGAGCAAGGTGGGAGAATTGCCTGAGCCCAGAAGTTTGAGATTACAATGAACCATAATCATGCTACTGTGACTCCAGCATGGGTAACAAAGCAAGACCCTATCTCTGAAGAAGAAGCCTCTTTCAGTGTAGGAACAGTGTGAGCCAAAGTCTGGTTACTGGGAATAGAGTGTACAGGTTGTTAAGAAAAGTTTACATTGAAGAATAGTAAGGAAAGAGGTTTATTTCTTGCTCATATGAAAGTCTGGAGGGCTGGGATAGTGTTCTCAGGTCCTTCCATATTGGTGCTCTGCTGTGAGTAGCTTTCATTTCCAGTCTTAGAGAGTTCATTCATGATCATCCATGGCTGTTTCAGCTTTTAGCCATGATCACATTCTAGACATCAGGAAGAAAGAAAAGAAAGCTGAAAGTCATCCCTTGTGCCCACTCTCATTAAATGAGAATACTCAGAAGTTACATATACTAATTCTGCTTGAATTCTACTAACTAGAAATTAGGCAGTCAGGTGGCTATACCTAGGTGGGAAAAGGGCTTTAGCTATAAATTCTAAGTCTTTAAAAGAGGAGAACATATTTTACAGAATGATAAGGCACACAAAGAAAGGGACTTCAAGGGGGAAGGAGGAAAACCTGGCCTGCTGAACTAGGAAGTTTGGAGGTACCATAAAAATATGGGTATGAAGTAACCTAGGTAACCAATGACGAATAGAAAGATCTTTAATGACCAATAGAAAAAGGTAATACTGCCTAGAGGTTCAGAAAGTCCAATGAAAGACTTGCAACCAATTTCAACAGAGAATTTTTAAACTGCTGGAGACCTTTGAGAATTGTCTCTCTCACCTTCTGTCCTTGGTAAGAGGACCCTTTTCTAACTCATTGGAAGTGCTCCAAACTTTCTCTTTATTCTTCTTAAATAAAATCTCTCTTTGTTACTCTGAAACTTGAGTAAGTTACTTTTACTTTCTATTCACACTGCCTGTGCCACTCCAGTTTTGTTTTCAGTTTCCATTCCCTTTTGCTTTCACTTACCACCACACCTCAGTTGAATTAGTGCAATCAAGTAATTGATCCAGGTCAACTGGGTTCAGGGAACTGGGACTCATGACTCTCAACAGAGGACATCTAACAGTTTCTTCCACAATCCGACCTTTTAGCTGCCACACTATCTTTGGTAGACTCTTCTTCCTGTGTATAGAACATAACCACTTACTCTTGTTCACACATGGCTGTTGCAGCTTTTAGTCATGTTTGAAAACCCCCAGATACAAACTTTTAAAATATGGCTTAAAACCCAGGCTGCTAGGTTAATAAATAATTGTTTTGTTAAATACTAGTGGCATGGTAATCTATAAATTAAAAGTTGACACATTTGCTGCATTACACCTAACACACAATGGGCATATGTTTGGAAAAGATGAGAGTGGGACCAACATAATGGTTACTGGTCCAAAGTGGTTATCAATTCTGCTAGGCTATGTGGGAACTGTAAAGGATACCTTCTCTAGTGTTGGAGCAATTTTCTTGATTACTCCATAAGGATACTCCTAATTCAGTCTTTTATCCATTATAGGATTTTGAGGATACTCCTAATTCAGCCTTTTATTCATTATAGGAAGGATTTTATCCATTATACTTTATGATCACATCTGAGATGTTCAATGGAGAATTTGAGTCCAGAGTGTTGAACAGTTTTTGCACCTTGCTTCTTGCTAATACAAATGTGGGCATGAAATTGATTTAGAAGTCAATCACAAGGTTTTAGTCTAGTTTGATGACTTCTTTAGCAATTCAACATGATCCTTTCTCCTCTCTCCTAATTAGTACGCTTCTTGTACATGTAAATAAGACCAAAGATCACATCTAGACACTATTTTTGAGCATGGTGGATGGTTTTCTTAATTCCCTGACTATCCATCAAAGATGTTTCCTTTGAGGTCTTCTAATACTATAGGCTTGGTGGGAAGGTAGCAACCTTAGTCTTACCTTTGACAGCTGAGCTGATTTTATTGTGTGACAAAAAATTCTTAGAGGAAAGTGCTTTAAAAAGGCTCAGAGTCACAGTCTTGACTTCTGCACCTACCTCTTTAGAGTGCTACTTCTAATGGCTTCAGTTTGGAGCACAGCACAGAAATAGTTGAATTTTTTATCCCTACAAGGCAAGACTCAAATTACTGGACTCTGAGTTAAATTGAGATTCCAAGCCATTGTACTGTTCTCCCATAACCCTGCTGTAAGTCAATACCATGTATTTTAGGTTTGGGTTTTTTTTTTAATTTTTGCAGTTTTTGGCCAGGGCTGGGTTTGAGCCCACCACCTTCAGCATATGGGACCAGTGCTCTACACTTTTGAGCCACAGGTGCTGCCTGTATTTTAGTTTTTTGAGAGCAACATAGTTCAAGAGAATTTCAGGCTTTTTAGGACTAGGTTTAACTATAAGTAACAAAGACCCAAATTAATACTGTTGTGAGCAACCTAGAAGCTTGTTATGTGAAAGTTTGGCAGTAAGTAGTGCAGGGTTGATATGATAATCCATGTTTTCAGAGATTCAAACTTCTATCCTCCCTGGATGGTCCTGGCTTCCATCCTCTGTATCATATTAGAGTTAAAGATGACCAATCCAGAGCTAGTCATTGTCTTCATTCTGGGTAACAGAAAGATGGAAAAAGAAGGGCAGATTCAATTTCATTGATGATTTCTCCTAATATGTCATTGGCTAGGACATGTTCATATGGTCCTAATTACTACAAGGAAGACTGGGAAATAAAGTCTTTATTTTGGGCAGCTATCTGCCTTAGTTAAAAATTAAGGATTCTAGTTTTGTAGAAGAAAGAAATAGATACTGACAGACAACTAGCAGTCTCTGATACTTTTTATAATTTATGCCAGTATTAGAAAATATTAATACTGATTTGTCCATACAAATTAAAACATTTGATGCATTCTTAACAAAGTAGCCAAAATTATCTTTTAAAAAGATCATATTTCTCCTTGCTCCAAACATCCTCAGGGCTTTCTAGTTCTGTAAAGCCTGACAATGTTCCATAAGACCCTTCATTTCCTTTCTAACCTTACCTCAACTACATTCCCCCTTGACTATTAATTCACCTTCTTTGCTATTCTTCGTGCCTGCCAGATATATCCACTTTAGGGCCTTCTGGATATCTGCTTTCCTGGATATCTACATGGTTAACTTCCTGGCCCCTTTCAAGTCTTTGTCCAGATGCTACAACTTCAGTCGGGCCTATGTTGACAACCCTATTTAAAGTTGCAATTCCCTCTGCTACTATACTCCCAGTTTACCTTTACCTCATCATTTTTTCCTCACAGCAATTACCACCTTTTAACGTCTATACAATTTATTTTATTTTTTTATTATCTGTACCCCTAAAATGTAAGTTGCACAGGCATAATCTTTTTCTGCTTTGTTCATTGAAGCATTCTAAGTGCCTGAAAGTATACTAGGTACCTTGTAGGTAATCAAATAATCTTTGAGTAAATGAATGCTTTTACTATTACAGAACAGCAATACAAAAGGTATAAGTATATTTGTATTACCTTAACAGTGGTATCTTTTCCTTAGTCCTAGTGTATCATCTTACCTTGGGATTTCTCCTTGTTGCTTGAATGGAGCACATTGGTGATGAGACTTTGTAGCTTATGTCAGCATGTGAGTGCATAATTACATTGAGTGTATGATTACACCCTGGAAAGGGTCCTATAGATAACATGCCTTGACATTACTTTTTTTGGATGTATAGGTTTGGTCTTAATGATTTTTAGTTGTCCGTATGTATTATTCATGATTTCTAGGCTGCAAATAAGAGAATCTCAGTTCAAAGTAGCTTAAGCAAAAAAAAAAAAAAAAAAAAAAAGGAGTCTGTTGGCTCATACCCAGCAAACTCAGAGATGTTTTTAATGGCTGGTTTCAGGGATTGAAATGTTGTCATCAGGATTTCACTTCCTTTCTCTCACGTCTGCTTTCAACTTTTTTTGCCCCATTCTTAATGATGGAGGTTTACATTCTTTTAAAAGCTAGTCATGCCAGAAAATAGAGTTCTTCTGCATCAGAACTCCGATTTACGCATCTTTGTGTCTGACTCACCTGGGGATACTCATTCCATGCTTGGAAGGCAAGGCCAAATAAGAGACAGTCTCATCAGATCAGGAGGAAGGTTAAGTTCTATAAAAGAAGGGATGACAAAGGAAAAAACAACAAAAAAAAATGTGTTGTGCTTTTTTCACTAACACATTCCACATGTAAACTTGCTAGTATAAGTGGTTTTCTAGTAAACAACAAAAATTAAAATACTTTGCAACAAATTAGCATTGTTTCTTAAATGGGGTTATACCACTTATAGATGTAGACTCATATTTTTTCTTCCTTTAGGCTCTCATTTCTGGTCATTTCTAATGGAATTACATATTCAGTAATTGCTGTGTGGTCTAGAACATGATGATAAGTAAAGCATGATTAATATCTAGCCTCTGTTCGTAACCCAATAGGATTTCACATTTTAAATTAAATAATTCTTTTTATTCATTCTTAGATGAAAATAGCAAAATAGAAGCAGAAGGTCACAGGGAAGCATTATTTCAGTCTTCTTTATCCCCCCCCCCGACAAAAGTGATGGAGACATTGCAGCAAAGCAACCCTGAAAGTGCCTTGGATGAGAATATTGTGGACTCAATTCACAAATATGTTTTGAATGATTTACCAAGGTAAGAATATTATTTCGGCAGTTTAAACTGAATTCTAAAGGTGATAAATACGCTTATGAAAGTTGACTATGAAAATGTTCTTTCGGTATTTCATGGAGATGATGTAAACAATAACCTGGAGATGTGATGGGCTACAAAGGTTGTTGCCTGGGGTAGAGCCCTTCAAGATTTTCTACTTTAAGAGAAGAATAAAGAGTGATGATGCAATAAACATATCCCTTAGGTATGACTTGGACATGTAGCATAATGATTATAATAATAATGGCAGGTAATAATGGGAACAATGTAAGGGTATATGGCACATCTCCTGGGTGCGGAACACAACAACAGGGACTTTACCTAACAAATGCAAACATTGTAACCTAATTGTTTGTACCCTTATATTCATCTAAAAAAAAAAGTAATGACAGGTAATATTTGCTAGTCACCATGCTTAACACTTAACCTGCATCACTTCAATTTTTTTCTCAATACAAACCTGTGAGGAATATAAAGCAGTTAGTATTCTAAACATCTCCATTTACTTACGAAGGAACAAAGATGTGGAGATGTTTGTTAACTTAACTAAACTCACACAGTCAGTATGTAGAGAAGGTAGAGTTTGAACCGAAACAGATCTAACTCCAGAGCACTTTATCAGAAGTATAAAGCAGAAGAGACAGAGTATTTTTCTTATTTCTTTTTTCTGTTAGAAAGTGAAAGAACGAAAAGGTGTACATCAGATGTCGAGAAACGTGATGACATAGTCTTTTATGTTAACTAGAAAACTGAGGCCATAAGAGCATCACAGAAATTATATGTAAATTAGAGGCTATGTTAATCTCCTTGTGGATATGCTGGGTCATACTTATTTCTGTAGAACAGTTAGAGTGTTTGCTTTTATTTTTTTGAGTGTATGTGTGTCACTAGATTAAAATAAAAGTGAAACTTAGACTTTCAGCTTATCTGTTTTCCCCTTGTTCTTTTACAGCTATGAATGTATATTAGCAGTGTACGAGATCCTCATATACTAACTATATGGCTAGATAATTTTTTTAAATGAATACGGTATATGTTATATTATAGGGACATAAGTCACTCATATATGAGATCCTTTACACAATGCGCTAACTGCATGGCTGGATAATTTTTTTGATGAATACTCTATCAGCAGTTCCCAACCTTTTGGGACTGGTTCCATGGAAGACAGTTTTTCTATGGATGGGGGTTAGGGGTTTGGGATAGGGATGATAATGGGACAGGAGGTGGAACTCAGCAGTGATGCTGTGCATCCTGGTTCCTGACAGGACGCGGACCAGTACCTGTGCATGGTCTCAGGGTTGGGGACTACAGTTCTGTATGTTACATTATAGGGACTTAAGTTACTCCTGTTAGTATTCTTCCCAACGAAACAATAAAAACATTTTAAAATAGCATTTTAAATTATTCTTTCACACAAATACCAATTCTAATATAGTATGTGTTTGGACATACTTTTCCTGCTTTTGGAGTTTAATTTTTCCAATTTTCTACATCAAAATGGTATTACATTTACTTTTTATTCCAACTTTTTCCTGCGCATTTCTATTTTTTTCTGATAGAGCTAAATGTACTTTCATCTATTCAGTTTCTTACTGCTTTCTCCACCTCCCTTTTTTTTCTTTGATTCTGAGTGTCTTTAACTCTGGCTTTATTTATCCTTTTTATTATATGTCAGGCTTTCTTTTCATGTGACACTTTCCTACAGCTTTTTTTTTTTTTAATAGCTTTGTTTCAGTGTGCTTCTTCTGTTTCTTTGTTTGAATCCTAACTACTTTTCTGTCACTACTGCCTGATACCATCAACTTTGATTATGATGTACCCAGAAAATGGAGTAACTCTCTTGGCCATTGAATGGAAATTTGTAGACAATGTTCAAAGGTCTTTTACCATCATGAAAAAGACAATAATGAGTTTCAACCTGAAAGGGGTCAAGTTCATAAAGGCTAATGTTAATCTACGATACATTGGTATTAATATGATTATCAGAGAGAGGCAATTTTCTCTATGAATAAAGACATTTTCCCCCTGATTGAGGTTAAAACTTCTCTTGTTCATTCTTGTTTTCCTTATCACCTTTCTTTTACCATCTTTGTGGCCTTTTTATGAGAAATAATTATTAAAATAGAGTCAATTTTCTTTTTCTTTACTTATATCACAGAGTTGGAACTTTTCTTCACTAATTAAAATATTGTACTTTTTTTTTTTAACAAAATATGCTTTTATATATTAACATCAAAATAAAGTCATTGATCACTGTTTGGCTATTTTGAATGGACTTAATATATGCCATACAGTGACCAATCACTTTATTTTGACATTACCCAATGCTACTTATTTAACTTCTGGTATATTCATGTTATCCACTCTTCTTTTCTCTGTCTTTCTCTGGTGTTCTTTCCATGTGTTTCCTCTGCTGTCACTCCATGCAACATTTGCTTATAACCAAGTGAAAACTACTTTACCATGTGCCACTCACACAAGAAAAATACACCAATATTGTAAATGTGTTCATTATATTGTGCCAAAGAAAATCTGATCCTCCCATTTTATAACGCACTATTTGGTAGTCAAATGACTAGAAAAGTCTAGCCTCGATTCTGGGGCTACTGCCAGGAAAGCAGCACAATAGGGAACTTTTCCTACCCATCTGTAGCCTGATATCTTCCCAGGTGACTCAGGATAGGGCATCAGCCTTTGAGCCATAGATTGCAGAATCAATTATTTATTATTAATAGGTATCCAGGGGCATTTTCACCATGTCCACAGAAGTTACCTCCAAATGCCAGTGAAAAATTTCCAAATTATTATTGGATTTTAAAATTAAAAGAATGTAAATAATTAACATCTTTTACTTTCTCACATATAAAATACTTTGTTTTAATGATTTTTAGCCAATGATCATTACAATGAATGCAATTTCATGATTTTTATAATGGAAAATAATCGTATTTTTTATCTTTTTGGCAGCTCAGTGCATTACCAACTCTTACAATTCTCTGAGGATGTATTACTTTAAGTACCTTAAATAAGGAATTAAATCAGTTTTTAAAAAGTGAATGCCAACAATTTTTGTCATAGATGATTGAGGCTGTTTTTTCACAGACCAATGTTGCTTTTAGGATACTAACTGCACCTAATCTATTCAGTCACTTTTTTATGTCAAAACTTATCTTGGATATTTTAACTTATAGAGAGTCTTAGACACTTTTTGAAATATAGGGACATTTTAGGTCTAGTAACTTCATCATTCCAAAGAAGAGCTATTGATTCTTACCCTGAAATGGGTGGCAGAAGGGAGCAAGAGGGAGGCAGCAACAGTCAATGAAGAAAAGAACACTTCAGTGTTTAGATCTCTGTTGCCCAACTAATTACACTATTTCTAGTTCATAATTTTTTTCCAGATTTTTTCTTCAAGTGTTTAAAAAATGATCTCTGATAGATCTAAACATTATTATAGTATTTCCTTTAAAAATGTTAAAAGACTAAATCATTGTTTCTTTCTGAAAAATAAAATTTCTTCTGGAAAAGTTGTATATAATATTTATTATATATACTTTTAGACTGAAGATTTTCCTTATTTTTACTCCTTGTACTTTTGCATGAGCAAAAATATTTTTCCCTCTTTGGATGGAATGCTATATGCCCCTGATCCTATACTCTAATGGGTCCTTATAAATCTTAGAAATTATTCTTCTTGTTTAGAAGAATAATTGTAATTTTTAATTACAATTGTAATTTGTACAATAACAAAATTGTAATTTTTTACAATAATTTTGTAATTTTCTTCTATTACAAAAGTAAACAAGTTTTGTTTAATAGACACACTTATTGGATATCATACATGTGGCATATGTATAGTTTGAACATAATACGTTGGTTATAATTCAGTCATTGAGTCAAAAGTAAAAATTTGACATGTCATAAAATGATTTGATGTTGCTCTGCAACTGGAAAACCATTACCAATATTTTTAGGCCAAAGTAGAATGTATTGAATTCTGGTGTTAGAAATAAAATTTGTGGGGAATTGTTTACCTTTATTATTATTGCTTTTACTACTGACTTTTTATGATGTTTAAATTACATTTTATTACAGAATATAGCAATTGTAAAAAGTTATTTATATTTTTGGAAGTTATTTGTTTAAGCGAGTTGAAGAAAGGGCAAGATCAAGTTCAGTGAAATCTATACTTTATGTCCCCCAGAGATTTTATAAAAGTTTACCTTCACCAACATATATGGGTTTATTTCTTTTATTAGTTGCTTTCTAGCATTTTATACTGGTAAATTATTATTAAACATACTTACGGTTATTTTTCTTTATATTTATTGTTTCTTATTTGTATATATTCCAATTAGATAGCTGAATTACCATTAAAATGGTAACATGACAAATGTTTTCAAATGGTAATATTTTAAAAATAACTCTTCAGGAAGGTTTAAATGCCATAAGAATATAAAGGAAATAGGTGCTTGAAATAGGTGCTTGTCAAATATACAGTATAAATAAATAATTTAGATGAAAATGGTTGACTACATTCAACAAAGAGACTACCAAATAATGAAGGGCTAAAGAGGGGTTGTTAGATTTGATGTACTTCATTTTATATTGTAAGTAATTGCTATCCATAAAAATTCTATGGTTTCTGTATAAGAAAAAGAGACATTTTGACAGGCAACACTAGTATGAAGCGACAGCAAGTACAAGTCCTTGGCAACTGTCATTATCCTACTGTTGAATTCTCATCCAGACTGTGTAATAACTTAGACCTGCATGTTTGGTTTTGAGCCATGGTCTGTCAAGGTAGCCAGACTTCCTCCTTACCAATAGAATCATTAGCTACATGCAGATTTGTGCCATAGAAATCTACACTTACCAAGGATGCTTTGTGTTTCAAAAAGAGGAAAAATAAAAACTCCATATCATTTTATGCTTATGCTGAAATTTCTAGTGAAATGTTCCTGACTAAGTAGAATTTTTAGAGGACATCAACAACTTATATTTTAACCCCAGGAAAATAATTCAATATTTGCAAAGATTTGTTTGTTTTTTTGTGACAGTTTCAAGTTGTTACCCTGGGTAGAGTGCCAGGCAACACAGCTCACAGCAGCTCAAAGTCTTCGGCTTAAGCAATTCTCTTGCCTCAGCCTCCCAAGTAGCTGGGACTATAGGCACTTGCCACAATGACTGGCATTTTTTTGTTGTTGTTGTTGCAGTTGTTATTGTTATTGTAGCTGGCCTAGGCCAGGTCTGAACCCGCCAGCCTCAGTGTATGTGGCCGGCACCCTACCCACCAAGCTATGGTGCCGCCCATTAGCAAAGATTTTTAATAAAGCCAAAAATAAAACAAAGTTAAATTAGATTATTAATTACATTACATTAAATGTTCATTACATTTAATGCAGTTTTCTCTGTGCAGATAGTGAAGGCTGATTGTATAAGTTGGGCCACTATGAATGACTTGAAAAATGAGGAACAGTTATTCTTACATAAGAACTTCAGAGTTAGAGCAATTCTAGGGTTAAATTTGGTGGTTCACCAGTGTTATCGAAGAGTTTGGCTCATAACATCATTCTCTCTGCTGTTCTCAGAATATTGGCTAGATCCTTTGTCTTGACCTCTCCTGCTTGTAGGATGGCTCCTCACATGTTCCAGTAAAGATGAATGTTTGATCACTTATATCTCTTTTTTATTAGGGCAAAGAACATTTTCCCAGAAGATTTCTTATGTTATTGGACAAAATTGGATCACAAGGTGATTACTTAACCAGCCAGAGGCAAAGGAAATGAAAATTACTATCACTAGCTTTAGACCATTAATTATGTGCCTACAGGAACTGATCAGAGGATACTTTCCATAGGAATATTAAGGAAGATGAATTCCCCAAATAATTAGGGTTTTTTACTTAAGGAAAAATGAAAGATGCCTGACATAATTTTTAGTTTCTGCCTTATTATATTTTAATTCTTAAATTGTGTATGTTTCTTACCAATGACATTTTTTGACACAATGTCATAATTATCAAAATACAATTTTGCATATCAAGCACTGAGTTCCTGTGGAAATGTAAAAGATGTAAAACAGGAATCTTACTCTTGCAGAATGTAATATGAAATCATCTGAAATCCCCAGGCCCTTTGGCTGATGCCTGTAATCCTAGTACTCTGGGATGCTAAGGCAGGTGGAATTTCCTGAGCTCAAGAGTTGAGAAACGGCCTGAGCAAGAGTGAGACCCAGTCTCTAAAAGTAGCCAGGCTATGTGGTGGGTGCCTGTAGTCACAGATACTCAGGAGGCTGAGGCAAGAGAACTGCTTGAGCCCAAGAATTTGAGGTTGCTGTGAGCTATGATACCAAGGCACTCTACCGAGGACGACTAAGTTAAGATTCTGCCTCAAAAAAAAAAAAAAAAAAAATTCATTTGAAATAACATAAGTAACAAGGCAAACACAGCAACATACAAAACAGTGGATAATTTATACTTAGGACCTTAGGGGCCTTGAAAAAGATGATAGTCACTATGAATTCTACAGCTGTCAGGAATTGAATTCTGGCAATAACCTGAATGAGCTTGTTCAAGGATCTTGAGCATCCGATGAGACTGCAGACCCAGCTGACACATTGATTTCAGTCTTGTGGGGTTCTGAGCAGAGGACCCAGCTAAGCTTTGCTCAGACTCTGGACCCATCAAAATAATGTGATAATAAATAGGTGTTATTTTATTTTAAACTATGATGTTTGTGATAATTTGTTACATAGCAATAGAAACAATAGAGAAATTGAGATACAATAGAGAAACAATAAACAATAGAGAAACAATAGAGAAATAAATAGTAGGTTTGAGAATATGTAAGAATTACTGAAAATCTGGCATCAATGTTGATAAAAGCAAACCAAACCATTGGATAATGGGCCAATTATGACTTTTTAACATGAAAACCCTTTTCACCCCCTTTAGATATAAATTTTTGGAGAAAAGTAAGTAATAAACAAATATACAGCCAAACCATATATTTTTTTTTTTTTTTTTTTTTGAGACAGAGCCTCAAGCTGTCCCCCTGGGTAGAGTGCCATGGCATTACAGCTCACAGCAACCTCCAACTCCTGGGCTCAAGCGAGTCTCCTGCCTCCGCCTCCCAAGTAGCTGGGACCACAGGCGCCCGCCACAACGCCTGGCTATTTTTTGGTTGCAGCCGTCATTGTTGTTTGGCGGGTCCGGGCTGGGGATTCGAACCCGCCACCTTAGGTGTACGTGGCTGGCGCCTTAGCCGCAAACCATATATTTTAATTTAATTATTTGTACCATTTACCAGGTTAAACCTCATATAATTTATTATCCTAACCCTACCAGGATCATGTGGAATTGGAGAGGGTTGATGATCATTTCCCCAAAGGATGTTTTAGGCAAACAAAAATAATAGATAACTTTTGCATTATTAGGTACAGGTAGGCAAAAGATAGTTGAAATATTACATTTAGTAAAAGACCATATAGCAACATGAATAATGGTTATAAAACAGTGTTAGGTCAAAAAATCAAAGTACAGAACTGAAGATATAATATGGTCAAAACTTTGGAACATGGAAAAAGGAAAACCTTTTGCTTTCTGGTGGTAGAATAGTATTTGACAATAAACAAAATGCATTCATCAAAAAAGACCCTTCATTCTGCTCTTAAGAAATCCTACATGAGAATTTGCTCTTCAAGTAACTATTCGGAACTGGGAAACTATTTAACAGATTTGTGAATCTTTCCCTTGGCCATTTACTGTTCTTTCCCCAGGTTGAAGAGCTTGGTGACCATTTATGACTTCATTACTGCTGCTATAGAAACCCTGCCAGTGTGACACAACTGCTGCCACATGCCACCAGTAACCACTGCTATCAAAATCTGAGTAGCTTAGGTGGTCCAAAGGGAAGTCCCACCTTTGCCAGAGCGAGTGTCTAATAGATTCTTTCAAGATGCTCTTTGCCAGTTTTGAACCTGAGGGAATCCTCAGAGTATAGGGAAGGCCTTTCCTCTCTTCAGTACTGTACTCAGTCTGGGAAAGACTTGGATGGATACTTGTGATGGTGCCACTATCAATAAAATATCGCTTGGATCTCAGAGTTTTAGCTTTCATTAATGCACTGTGTCAAACTCACATACATGCACATCCATTTTACATGTGGCATGTGACTACCTTTCATTCTTTCAGAGGAAGTAATTGACTATTTTAACACATTTGTAAAGTTGGCAGGACAGAAGAAATAATTGTGATTATAATGACATTTGTGGATGTGAAAGATTTAGAGGAAGAGCTGTCCCTGCTGAGTTTTTGACACTGAACATATGTTAATTTATAATTGGGTGTATGTATATATTGCAGAGGTTATATTTTATTATGTATAAAAACTAATGAGGAACTAGCCAATTGGAAATAGGCAAGTTTGTGTAAAAGATAGTGCCAATTACAGTAATATATGAAGGCTGATACTTCCCTATGCCTGATCATCACACAACTCGATATTCTCAAATATGTTGAAACTTATTATGCCAGTGAATTCTATATCTATCTTCCTAACTTTGTATTTACATAAATTTATATTTATTATTATCCCAGGTCATGTGGTTACCTATTCACATATCGTAGTTCATCCAAATATTATTCTTCCAGCTTGAACACCAGGTAGGGTGACCAGTTGGTCTGTCTGAGACTGAGGGAGTTCCTGGGATGGATGACTTTTGGTACCAAAACCAGGACAGTCCTGGACAAACCAGGACGAGTTAGTCACCCTAATCTCAGGTCTGCTACGAAGCCTTTACCAACTTATTACTACCTGTTCTAAGATAGCCTTCAACGAATTATTTTTACCTTTAAAGTCAACACATATGCATAGCTCCTAGCAGTTTATTTAACATATATTATCTATTAGGGGATATTTTGCAAGTTTCTTGAGGATAGGACCCACATCTTTTTAACTTTCGTATTTCCTAATACTAGTACTCTGCTAAGTATTAGGAAATAAATCTAAGAATTTAAAAATTATAATTCCATTTTTTCAAGCATTATACAAGTTTTCTTTTAGTTTAATTTTAAGTAAAGCAGTGAAATTTAATGGTTATAAATGTGATTTTTATTTTAAGACAAGCTTGGTTTCAAATTTCCACCCTATCACTTACTATGTGACAGTGGGCAAGTTAATTGGCCTTTCTAAATCTTAATTTTCTGATTATAGATTAAGCCTTCTTAAAGCTATAAAATGGGGGTTAAAAATAGTACCCACTTCCCAGATATTATAAGCATTAAACAAAATGATGGCTAAGTGTGTAGTATAGCATACAACTAGTTGTATGTAGTATGTGTTAATAAGCGATTACAAATCAATTAATTGTATTCTTTCCTGCATTGTTTTTTTCAGGGAGTTTATGTCAGCCCAGGCAAAAGCAGTTATTAAAACTACTGATGATTATTTGCAGCCGCAGTTTGGCCCCAACAGCCGTTTGCATTCAGTAGTAGTATCAGAAGGGTCAGGACTTCAAGATTGTTCCACACATCAAACAGCATCAGATCACAGCCATGATGAAATACCAAACCTAGATAGCTACAAATCAAACAGTAAAAACAATTCTTGGTTTATATCAGCATCCAAGAGATACAGACCTGTCAGTGCCCCTGTGGATCAACTGAGGTAATCAAAGCTGTTCTCTGTTCTTTTTAACTGACTGTTGAAGCTCTTTCCTTTGAGCAAAATTTATACTGATTCAATTGACTATTTTAGACATTAAAATAGAACCCATCTCTAGGGTTTTGTTTCTGGTTTTTTTTTTTTTTTTATTGTTGAGGATTCATTGAGGGTACAGAGAACCAGTAGTTTGCGTTTTTGTGTTTTCTTTGGAAGCACTAGAGTAGAATGTTGCTAATTACACTGTGGAAAATATGAGATACCCTTCAACTGGGTAATCTGGCACTCTGAGAAAAATAACTGAAGTAGGACCATGAAATTTATTTGCTAATAAGATTTTTTTTAAAGAATAGAAATGTATGCTTTTGATATTTAACCAAAAATTTGAAGCAGAATTAAAATGAACTCATTATAAAATGATTTCGTATTTTCACATCAAGATTCTTATCAGAAACTGTTAACCTAAGAGTTTATGATAGAAGAAAATGTTGGTAAAAACAAAACTCAAACCGAAAAACTGATAACCTCATTATTTTCAGATATTTGAATATGTGGATATGCATGATTTTAATTTATCTGAAGTTTTAAAATATGTAATTCTATGATGTCACAAATTAACATGGTTAATAATTCTGAAGTCAAAAATTTGACATGTTTAGTCAATTTATCATGTACTTTTGCTGAGAAAACAATGAAGATCAAAACTGGTTTTGACTAAAGGCAAAACTTGAAAATTTTAAATCTTACTGCCTCCAAACAATTTGAAACAAAGATCATACAATTAACTTTGAAACCAAAATTTTACTTATAATTTATCTAAATTTCAAATCTTTGTAAAAAATTAAAGAACAGTGGTAAACATGAAAACTTGGGGAAAATCTTAGCCATTTACTATTTCATGATATTAAAATAATATTATCTTTTACTTACAGAACTTAGCAGATATACACATATATGATTTGGGAGTATATATAATAAATATGATTATTTTGGTATGATGTTTTCTAAAATCCACTGACAGCCATGTTTATTTTCTAAACAATAAAAACGATTTGTTCTGATGTATGTGTTTTGCACCAGTAGTATTGGGAAACATTTTGTTTTAGATTTTAAAAATATTTAAATACGTAGGGACAATCTTATAACAATCTTATCCTATAAAAAGTTTTGTTTGGAATACATAGGAACAATCTTTAGGTCTTAAATCTGTTTTTAAAAACCCATGATAATATTTATTTTAAAGTTTTTAGTAATTAACATGTACCAATTCTTATGTTGTTTTTTGTTTGTTTGTTTTCTTTAGGCATACAGAGTTCTCTTCTTTAAAATTTCAGTTGTCCCAGAAATGGCATAGATTGTCTCAAAGACAAAAAGTTCAACCACGAGTGATTAAAGTAACAGCTTATAAAAATGGATCTAGAACAGTCTTTGCCAAAGTTACTGTACCAACCATCACCTTGGTAACTAGTATTCCAAAGTTTTCTGTGCTTCATTTTTTTCCCTCACTGTCTTTATAATATAAAAAAATGATAAAAGATGACATTTATTGTATCAACCCATTTTCCTTTTAGGAATTTGAATCTGTAAATTGCTTATATATACACAGAACTCACAGGCATTTTTCTCCTTTCCTTTAAAAAAAAAATTAATATATAAATAGTATAATTAAACAGATGCAATGGCATTGTATTTGTAGAGTTATTAAAATGACAGATCATTTAAGGATTAAAGTTAGACAGTAATTAGATATTCTTCATTGCTGTGATTTATCTTTTATTTCCATATTTTAATCTGCTAGAAAATAACTATATTGGTCAAGTTATTGAACTTGGCAAGTGACTCAACTGAATTTCTATTTTAATCATTAGGACATTTTGTTTTGTGGAAGGTATTACTTTCTCTGTCGTAAATCACTTTGTCTTACCTCTTGCTTTCTTCTAGTTGCTGGAGGAGTGCACAGAAAAGCTGAATCTGAACATGGCCGCAAGACGAGTGTTCTTGGCAGATGGCAAAGAAGCCTTCAAACCTAAAGATATACCCTATGAAGCCGATGTTTATGTTTCAACAGGAGAGCCTTTTTTAGATCCATTCAAAAAAATTAAAGGTAAAAAGAAAAATATATATGCTACCCCCCCACAGTAAATTGCTTAAGGGGTGCAATTAAAAAATGATTTTCATCCTGTCTTTTTTGCATGGTTTAACAAAACTAATGTTTACGCATTTACAGCTCAGTAAGAGGATAATGTGCTTAATGAAAGAAAAATCCACTGACAGCCACGTTTATTGCCCTTCATTAGCATTGGTGCTTAATTTAATATAGATCTGAATAGACATTAGGGAGCCTGCAGGAGGTTAAATGGTGAAAATATAATAAATTAAATCAGAGATTATTGAATTTACTGTTTAGTTTCTGTGACGCTCAACAGACATAATTCATTAGACTTTCTCAGAAAATAGTTCAAAGTTTCAAGTATCATTTGTTCATTTATACTCTTGGTCTTTTCTCAGATGGTATTAACATAATTATGAAAATGTGGCCAGTGATGAATATATAATTCTTATATACATGGTATTCTCCTAATAACATTTTTCACAATAAATGCTGCAGCCTGATTTTTTTTTTACCTTAAAATGTGTATGCAGTCTATAATCTTAGACATATTTTCAAGTAAGGTTTTTTTAAAAAAATCCATTATTTCTAACATTTCAGAAATGTGGGAATTTTATAATATTAAAAAAAATTCTCCTGTGGAAAAGAGTACATTTTAAGAGAGAATAAAAGTTCTACTAAGAATATTCTTCCAAGCATGTTGTACCTAGAGTTCGTTATCAAGTGCTATAAGTGGTAATCAGATTTAAATAACATACAGGATAAATAAAGATTTTGCCATAAAAATTCAGTGTCTAAATGCTGTATTTCCCTATGTTTTTTATACCTTATTATAAGTAGTTTTTTTCTGCAGCTGGCATAAAGGTGGTGAATCAAAGGCAAGTCTAGGCAGTAATTGCATAAGTAGAAGAAAAGTAATTCTGGAATTCATTACAGATAAGTTCATGAAAATATCTCCTCTCTTAATGAATAATAGTAAGATTTCTATCTCTGTGATAAATACTTGATCATTAGGAAATACTTTCTTGAATTCAATATGAAATTCAAGATAATTTGGTCCTTGTAAAGAGACTTGTTGCTATAATACTCATTAAAAATTAACTTATGTCATAGTGTAAAGTAGACCCATATATAATATTTTTCAAGTTTTGCCTTAAATTTAAAATATGGCTGCATCTATTTTGTATTTATTGAATCATTTGTTTATATAAAAACATGAGTCTTAGTAGGCAAATACATTTCTGTGAGTTAAATATTCAGGTGTTTCTGTAATAATTGCTTTATTAAGATCCCTGATTACTTTTATGTATAAGAAATGCTTGCCTTTCTTATGCATAATAGTATTGTAGAAGAGATATATAAAAATTACCGATAGCTAAGCTAAGAAGAAAATCTCAAAGATGTATATGTCTAAAAAACAATGTCACACACATGACTAAGCTTGGTAGATAATTTTTAAACGTACAAACTAATTTCCTCCTACTTTCTGTCTTCTCTTTTGTCCTTTTCAAAAGCCAAGTCCAGAACAAAAAACTTCTCTGCTTTGTCTGCATATCTTTGGCTGTGTTTCACTGTGACATGCACTGCTGTTCTTTTAGCACCAAAATGTTGGCACACATTCCTGAAAATTTCACACCATCTCTTGCTGGATCAGCAAGCTTAACCCACCAAAATCTGGTGTTGTGCAATGGTTTTTGACTGATAATCAATCTTTATGCTGCTCGACAGTTGTTGCTGGGACACGGAGTAGAGCAGGTGGCAGATGTGCCTTGTCTTTTGAGAAAAGAAATTGTAGGTGAGCTTGGACACAGACTAGCATATCACATGTTCATGAAAAAGACTTAGGATAAGTATAAAGGGGAAATCCACTCATCTGAGGTAAGCGTACAGATAAGCCTAAACACTGATATTTGGTTTCTTTCAGAATGTGAAGAATATAAATGTAAATATATATCCATATATATGAAAGATAGTATTTAAATTGATGTCGGTGATATAAACATAATGTTACCCACATATTTCTACATACATTTTCAAACCATCTAAATTAGGTCAAAGATTACCTTTCTAGCATGTGTTTTATAGAAAAATCAATAATTTGGCTCGGCGCCTATAGCTCAACCGGCTAAGGCGCCAGCCACGTACAACTAAGGTGGCGGGTTCGAATCCCCAGCCCGGACCCGCCAAACAACAATGACGGCTGCAACCAAAAAATAGCCGGGCGTTGTGGCGGGCGCCTGTGGTCCCAGCTACTTGGGAGGCAGAGGCAGGAGACTCGCTTGAGCCCAGGAGTTGGAGGTTGCTGTGAGCTGTAATGCCACGGTACTCTACCCAGGGGGACAGCTTGAGGCTCTGTCTCAAAAAAAAAAAAAAAAAAGAAAAATCAATAATTTTCCAACTTGTCACAGTTTACCATAAAAATAAAGCATGTATGAATAACTTCAAAGGTGGTAGATAAATTTTGAATAAGGAAGCATTCTCAGAAGTTAGAAGATTGAAGATGGTGAAGGTCAATAGGGGGAAACAGTTGGTAGGATTGAGTGTTACTGGTGTATCTTTCTAAAAGAACATGAGTATTTTATATACAATTAGTCATAATACATTAGAGTCCATAACAGGTCATTATTTTAATTTTCTGATTTATATTCATTCAACAAACATTTATTGAGCGCCTACTATGTGCCAGATATTAAACCAGATTACCAGATCAGAGAAAGATGAAAGAAGGATTTTATAGTTTCTTTTTTTATCATTATTCTGATTTTAAATTCACTTTCACTCAATTCAATTAAGATTTAAACCAATAAATATTTATCAAGCATCTATTATTTTCTAGCAGTCCTGGCCTTTAAGGAGCTTAAACTGGGTAAATAAGTTATAAATTCTCCAAACTGGAGAACACTGTTCCACAGTGTAAATCAAATGGATATTCCAAAGGAAACTTTACCTTACTTATGTCACAAGATGGTAAAATAAGTCAATGTATATTTTGGCAGTTATATTTTCATTCCTTATTGGTTCCATTATTCATTGGAAAGGCAACGTAGATAGTAAAAATTGCCTAAGAACTATTTCCAGATTTGCTAAGATAGAAAAAAATCCTCTCTTTTCCTATCCCTTTTGAGAATCACTGTTGACAACCAGTGGCACTGGATTTAATAGAAAGCCAGCAAGCCATTCATCACATACCTCGAAACACAAAGCTTTCATATAGAGCTCAGGCCAAGGTCAATACTGCCATGAAGCATTCCCTGTTGAAATGCAGTAGTAGAATAATCCTTAAATTTTAAAGTTGGACACCTAACCAGAAAGATTAATTGTATATAAAAAACATCAGGAAAATAGAAATATATAAAGACTGTTGATGAAGATGTCTTATTATGTCTTATACTTCTGGCATTGAAAGATTCTAATGTTTATTAATGATTCTGCTGGAATTATGAAAACGTAGTTAGTGAATTATTTGAAAAGGCATTTTAAGTTTTTAGATGCATGGCCATGTGGTTTTATTCACAGTTTTCTTTTCAACTTAACTGTGGCATAGTGAAAATTTTGGGATCAGATCCATGAGGCTTATGACAATTCAACTCTTTTATAACTGCTAGGAGCTATAAGCAATGCAAACGTAAGAAACGTTCGTGCCGCTTGATTGCTTGAATATCTTAAGAAAGAATAGGGGAAAAAATCTATTTAGACTTAATTCGTTAGATCCAAGTTTTACTGTGTGGAGCTCTGATGGTCTTTAACGTGTTTTGGTTTTATATTTTCACTCTTTCCTATATATTTGGCTTTCATAACTATCATTTACAATGATTCATTTAAGTCTTGAGTTTTGTTAACCATAAGTGAAACTTAGTATTATTACGAATAAGATTTTATATCTTTTATATACTGTATTGTGAGGATGTAGTCACAGAAAAAAAAAATCCTTGAAAGGAATACTTGAACTACATCTAAGATCTCAATTTAAAACTAGAGATTTTCTACTAACTGCCATGTGATCTACAAAATGAAATAATTTGCTGTGACAGTTTGTGATTGACAAGAATATGTGTGAGCACATTTGAAATAGGCCATCTTTTCATGTAGAAGTAAATGTCAGTGAAATGATGGATTCTCATCATTTTAATTATTGATGATTTGGAAATATTTCAATTCCATGACACACAAGACACATTCTAAATAACTGCATAACACTTTTTTTCTATATCTGCATCAATAATGAAATGTTCTGTCATATTTTGTTTTTCAAAAAATGCATTAGTTTAATGAACCTGGATTCACGTAGTATAGTCTGTTACATTCTATGTCTACTGAGTTTGTTGGTTTTTATGTGGTAATGTTAAAAGCATAAGTTTCAAGAAATGACCCACTAACCACACTACATCACAGCTTGCTATTTCTGCTGCTGGATCTTGAGAAAGAATGTTACAGTGCTGCCTACCCTAATGGTTTCTGTACCCTGCCAAACCTGATGCTGGTTTGTGACGTTCATCTATGACTTGGGTAGCCACTACTTTATTCAGGCAGCTACAGGGGTTCGGACTGGCTTTCCCAAATGCCCTTTAATAGTTTGGTGTGAATAATATATGGATTAGGTGATATTATTAGGCCATGTTTATCTCCCACTTAGCTGTATACACTCAAAAGCAGGAAAATGGCATTATAGAGAGAAAAAAATCACTTTCTTCTGAGACAGCATATTATTCTTCTGTTTCTATATGTGAGGGTACAACTATAGGAATATATTTCATGCATTTTCTCTGTACTAAAAGTTTTAGATCCTATAGGTAAGTATATAGAATGTCCTTACTATATAAGATAAATATAGATTTGAAGACAGTTATAAGGTTATGTACTGAAAAAAAATATCCTTAGTAGGAAAATCTATAGCCTGAATATAGCTGGCACCATCTCCTTATACTGTCAAATATCGAATCTTTGAGAACTACCTCAATTCTTAACATACTCATGAAATGTTGAATTATATTCAT